ATAAAATAAAAACCTTGATTATACTGAAACTTTCTAGGCCAATGATTTTAACCTAAATTACCTTTATTAGCATTGCTAGTACAAGCTAAATGGGGTGAGCATTTAATTTTTCTTCAAATCAAAGTGTAGACTTGTTCAAAACTGTTTATAAAGGAGTAAATAGGACTGAAAATAAGTTAACATTTGGGGAAATACGCTTATTTGCTTTCTTGCCCAGAGTAAAATTAAGAAAAGGTCGATACCACTCTCATTTATGTCTGCATCAGTTAGCTTAGCACAAAGACTGGAAACGGCAAAACTAAACAGGCTCTGTACAAAAGGTAACAAAATCTGTCTACCAACAACTCTAAAGCTCAAGAATTAAAAAGTAGTTTCTGAGCTATTTGTGTAAAGACAACATTTTGACGTTTTAGAGGGGGGGTTATGTGCCAGACTATTTGTAGACCAGGAGCAGCTGCCAGGCAACCAGTGGAGGAACCTGCAGGATGTTAGGTTTGACAGCCCCCCCACCCCTGTCAAACCAAATAGGTCTATCATTAAATCCCTTACTCAGAGGAACACAAAACATTTTTGTTGTGCCCGTCCCAAAAGCAATACACCAGGCTGTGTGTGTGAGAGATAGAGAGAGACAGGCAAAACATCATCATCTGTGTGTGTGTGTGTGTGTGTGTGTGTGTGTGTGTGTGTGTGTGTGTGTGTGAGTAGAGGACAATATGGCTGGAGTTAGGGGATGTTTCCTGCTCCCCTGGGACCTTAACCGCATAGGAACAGAAACCATAGCAAACATTAATGAACCACTTTAGTCATGTAGTTCCTTTTTTGTTGCTTTTCAAGTCAAACCCTTGTTATAGTAAGTTCAACATGAATGCCATCACAATTTCTAAACAGAATTAAGCCATGCTCCCAGTACAGTAGTGATCCATAATATAAGTTTTTAGGTTCAATCTTCTCCCTCCACTGGCCTCCGTAACATCAAAATGTCTATCATCAGAGGCTGCCTATGTGTCAGAGAAACCACAGATATCTGCAGTGTGGCCTTTTGATCTTCTGATTCATCCCACCTCATCCCTCTCATCTGCTGAGTCACAGAGACCTTCAACCAGAACAAACCACATCCTCATCCTTTCATCTCTCCATCACCTTTACCTCACTCAGCATCCCTCACTAAACCTGTGTTGACCTTTGCATGTTAAAAAAGAACCCCTAGCACCCACGTTACATCCTGTATGTGTGTGTGTTTCCTTTAACTTTAAAGTCTGCTTTCAAAAGGAGCAAGTTGCCTGTTGGATAAGCTCCTCCCTCTCCATTGATCACAAAAAAAAGGTTAGCTGGTACACAAAACAATTAGACAAAACAAGTTTATTCTGACATGGTTCTGTTTGTTTAACTGCAAAGAACATCCATATTCAAAAAAGCAATTAGAATGTTTTAGCCTCCAAATAATTATTTCAAATGAAACCTATGAGGTTCACTGCTTCAGTGTCTACGCATCTCTACCTTTACTGTTCCTCTCCAGCACAACTCTATCTGGGGAAGAGCGAGGATTACAACAGGGGAGTGAAAGAAAAAAGACCAAGCAGAGGGAAAGTATTTGATTCCACGCGGGTGGCCTGATAAAACAAAGTTAGTCATAAATCTGGAGCTATAAACACTGTGCTTTTAGACCTAATCCATACAGAGCGGAGCATAGACCAATGTTTCTGTCTCCTTTCTTTCTCTCAGGCTTTGTATTTCCCTCTCTCTTCCTCCCATTAGCACTCTCGCTAGCATTAAACTTCCCCTGGCCTCACAGGATGGAAAGAGGACTTTTGGGAAATTAGTTGAGTGTGTGTGTACATAGACAGCTGCCCTTTGTTAATTTCAAGGATATGCAGGAAGCACCAAAAATTAGCACTGGATGATTGACAAGATTCGTCGTCTTGTTTACTTATTTTAATCTTATATGTATATCCTGACTTAAATAAGGAACATGGCTAATTTTAGTTTTATTTATGTAGGTAGTTCTTGTCCAGCTGCTTGTATTAAGAAAAAACATTGGGCTTATCTTGTTAAATCAAAGAGCAAAAGGGTTTTAGAGATCTTCGTTGTAAAATGCCAAAAAAGTATTGTTTGTGTACTAGTACCAAAACTTAAAATTATACCATATTTAAACTTGGGAGTCTTCAGCTCTTTTGGGAAGTTGAAGACTGTTATGCAACAACACGAGAAGGAAAGATGGGCCACACTTCTGCTGCCTGCAAAAGTGAAAACTACAGTAAGGGAAACACACACACACTTACTCAAGAGGAATCACAATCCATCAATGTGTGTATCAAATTTGACTTTTTAACCAATGATACATTACAGTACTATTTGTTTGGGTTTGAACCCGTCTGTTCAGCTGCTGTGAAGAAAGAGCTGTCCTGTACCTGAGAGGGGCTCATATGATTCTTACATAAAACTGTCTCACATCAGAGTTTTCATGTCTAAATGAATGATAACAGGTGCATTTCACCCCAAATCTGTCACAGTTTGAGGCCCCAAACATGGGGCAACACAACATAAACTTTGAAAAAGGTTTGAAAAAAATAAATAAACCATCTTCTCCCATTACGTCTCATTCCCTCACCACCCCTCCCCTCAATCACTGTTTCATTCTTGAGCTCTCTCTTTGTTCTATTTTGATCCTGTAATTTTTTTCTCTTAGCCAGCCAAGTGTTTCTTCCAACTCCCTTTCTCCCTCTACCTGACATTCAGCTCGGCAGCCTGCCTCACACCAGGACAAACTTTATGACCTCACTTCACTGCAATGTTCCAGAGACATAGAGCGAGAGACAGCACCGAGAAGACTAAGATAACATGAGGAGGAATGCTGGAGAATTAGTATAAAAAAGTCAAATGGAGATGGGCGAGAGTCTGAGCTTAAGATGTAACATATTTATATAGACCATAGACTTTGACTGACCCAGCATCTGGATGACTGGTGAAGGAGAAGGGAAGGAGGAAGGGCACAAAGGAATTGTGGCAAAAAAAGTAAATCAAAAACAGATAAAGATGAAAGATTTTGATGTCACTGTGCTCTGGGTGAAATAAGCCAGAAAAGGAAAAAGCTTTTCCTCTCACTCTCTCACCTTCTTTTTGCTCCCTTCCTTACTTTCTCAGAACTTGTCTGTGCTCCATTTTAGCTTGGCACAGTTGTTTCTACGTTCAATCCAAATCACACTTGCCCAGTGGCAGTGCTCTAAACTCAGTGTGTTGGCAAACTCTGGGCTCCAAATGTTTGAACAAACCACTGATATATCCCTGTGCACACACACAGAAAGAAGGAGGAGGATAATAATAATAATACACATATGCAGGCCAATCACAAATGTGAACACACACTCAGCACAACAGAGTGCACGCATACACACGCCAGCCGGTAGTGCTGGACATCATCAAACACTTGAGTAACCACAACAACTTCCCATTTCCCTAGACCCATTTCCTGCCTGTTGAGGTCACTCGCCAGCTACTGCTAATGTCGCTAAAACAACAAGCAAGGACAATGGGCAAGGGAGTAAAACAATCAATCAACAACTAATGAAGATCGGGGCAGTAGATAATATCAATGGGCAGTAAAGCAGTTTTGTGAGTGAATGCCAGGTAGGACAGGCGAATCAACAAGTAATTTGTTTTTTTAGCAAATAAAAACAACATTGTCCAGATTTCTGAAACACACAGTGACAAATCACAAAGTAACATTTGACTTCCATACCAAAGCAGAATGAGTCCAGGGCTGCAAAATATTCACTGCAATAAAGAAAAGCTGTCATGGTACAATGAAAGCAAAGTCCTGGATGATGTGTCTGCAGCCTTCTGTCCTGAGCTTAGACGGGATGATAATCCCTCTATTGCTTTTACTTTCACCACACCTATTCAGAGTTTCACCCGTGACAATAACTGGAGGTCTGGAGGGTGTGTGTGTGTGTGTGTGTGTGTGTGTGTGTGTGTGTGTGCACTCAGGGGGTTGTTATGAGTAAGGGTAGCTTTGTGGGAATGAATGACATAGTCCACAGAAAGGAACATTGAGTATACATAGAAACACACACAGACAGACCCCATGAGTGGCTGCCTTTGAACGTTACAAAGAGTGCACATTTATATGCATTCTCTTTTTTTTTTCTTTACATATGTTTAGATATATTGTAATATGCTCAATTAAGTTTCTTATATCCTGTTAACTTTGTCATATAATGGTCATTATACCCAGTGGTTGCATAAAAAAACATTTATCAATTGATTATGTACATTTATCATGATATTGATTTTTTGTGACAAGCCTATCAGTTAACATTTGTATTGCTATGATATAACGAGCCAGAAGTCTCCCAGTGTTTAGACACTGTTGAGTAAATGCAGCATCCCAGACATCACACACCCAATCTTTGTTTGGGTGAAGTGTTTATTATTTTCTCTCACTATGACTCTATAATTCTGGTACAGAGACAATCGATATTGGATGAAACAAATAAATGAAAACAGACATGCACACTCAGCAGGGCTTGGTGCACTCCTTAATGCCCTTTGTCTGAGATTTGTTTAATCAAACTTATAACATCCTCTGATGTTTGTTTAAAACTGCACAGCCTTTAATGGCTTCTGTATTGTAGCACTGCTCCAAATGCACTCTGAAATGAACCACATGAGTCCTGATTCACAGCACTTCATAAAAGCACAGGCACACACATGCAGCTTTGGGTGTAGCTATGAAACCATAAGAACAAGTCAACTGTATAAGACAACATTATGGGTTGTTTTAAGCTAACTGGTATTACCTCAAAACCTTTAATACATTAAAAATCCAATTTCACCCTATTTCAGACAGTGACAAGTAAAAGTTTAGTGAGGCAAATAACCATTTGACACAGAATACACTCAAAGACACCATGCAACAAGAGAGCTTTGTGTATGCCAGCCTTGCACTTGCTCACTCGCGCATGTGAAAATGATAAAAAGACAGAACAGAAATGTGTACTCACCACTCTGGGCTTGATCCTCTGTGGGACAGCCGTGGACGCAGTGTCCTCTGTGCTTTTCTTCTGTGGTCCAGCTTCTGTAATTCCACTGGTGGTGGTCTCGCTGGGCCCCTCTGATGCAGACACTGAACCTTCAGCTCCATCCCTGGCCGCAGGAAGAGGCCCTGGGCCTTCACTGTCCCTCTCAGCGGTGCTCAATTCTAGAATATATTTCTGGGTCACATCCTCCAGAGATGGGGCCTCATCTCCAGTAGGCTTACTTAAGGTTGAAGGCTCTGCAGTTGGTCGGACGGCTAGGCAGTCAGCTTCCTTCAGCGGCTGGAGGTGTGGAGGTGGGGAGATGGGGATAAAGGTGGCAGGTTCGCTGGCATGGCGGACATGCTTGGGCCTGGTTTTGGATTTGGATTGCAGCAGGGGAGGAGGAAGAGGAGAGGTGAGGTCAGTTTGGTCCCTGTGATCCCCCTGCTCCTCTGAACCCAGCTCTGGGGGCTCAAATGGGTCCTCATGAGAGAAAAACTGAGCCAACCTGTTTGGACGCTTTCTAGGGGGGCGACGAACCATTCTAGGTGACAGAACCCCAGCTAGCTTGAGGTCAAAGTTAAACTTCTGCACCTCTTGCTCTTCTCCACCTTGGTCTATTACATCTTCATCTTCATCATTGTGGTTATCAGAGTGGGGGGTGCATTCTGACTGGGAACGAACCTTTTTACTGCCGTTTGCTTCATGCTGTTTCACCAATGCATGTTTAGGCTCAACTTCCGGCTTCCACAGTTCCTCTCGCTGCTCGCTCAGGATTGGCTCACTGCTGGAAGGTGGGATCTGGCTAGGTTGATCCAGCTCGCTGATTGGCTGAGGATTGCCGATCTGACCTCTGAATTGAGGGTCATTCTGAGAAAGTAAAGGGGCATCGCTACGACGACTGGGGTCACTGAATGACTTCTTCTTGGGAGCTTTGCCATTGCCATGGTCATCAGTCATTAGTCTGTCCATTGCACCTGGCTCAGCTACGATACTCCTGATCACCCCGCTGTAGTCACGAACGGCATCATCTCGAAGACCACCATCACTGTAAACTGACAAGTCACTGGCCACACTGCCCTTGTATTCTGACAAGGTTGCCACCACAGAGGCGTCTGGAGCACCTCCCCCTCCTTTGACAGACAGGGATCCTAACAGGTTGCTGTCTACAGAGGAAAAATTGTTATTCCCTTCTTCTGTGACAGAACAGCGCCGCTGCGGCATGGGGTCACTGAGAGAGCGGTAGACTGTGGACTCCCCATTTCCAACAGCTGCTATTGTTGACTCTGCATTACTGGCATTACTGGAATCAGAGCCTGTGTTGTTATTACCAGACGGAGAGAACTTGCGCCTTCGACGGATAGCACTTGGGGTCGCAGGAGCTTCAAGTCCTCCTCCTGCAGTGCCTGCTGACCTCTGCGACACAGCGCTGTTGGTGTTGATCTCCTCACTGGTAGCATTGACACTGTTGATACCAGCGGTGTTGCTCAGCTCCATGATGATACTGTCACTCTCAGCCATACGGGCAGGAAGAGTCAAGGAGGGAGGCACGCTGACTTCATTCAGATGATTTGAACAATTCATGCTGTTCTCCGTCATCTCTTCTCTCTCCTGCTTAAACCCTTGTGCCTCATGGAGAGCAGATTGCTTCCATACGGTGACAGGCTGCCCTAGCACATCCCTAGCGATTCTTGACCCTAAATTAACCCCTGCTGACCCAAGGAAGGACCTCTCAGAGGGGTCACTGGGGCCTGTCTCTGGCTCTGTTACAATCCCTTCATCTGTTAAACTAGACTCATGGCCTGAAAGTTCATCCACAGAGCGGTCGTAGAACATGCTTTCCTCCGAGTCGCCCTTCAGTAAGGCTCTCTCTGTCTCTCTTCTCTGTCTCTTTGCCTTCTCCCTGTACGCTGTGCCCCTGCTGTTTAGCTTCTCCAACTGCATACTTTGTCCATCCCTCTCGCTCTCCCTGTTCTCTCTCTCCAGCTCATGTTTATCCCTGTCTTTTGTGTTCTTACACTCAGCCTCTTGATCTATCCTTGTCTCATCCTTAACACTCACTCCTGCTTTCTCCTCCTTTGTTTTCGTGACCTTGAAACATTCATCCTCCAAATCATTGTCAGTCCTCCTTACTTCTACATCATCATCATCTTCCCTAGTACTCATCTGGCAGATATCTCGAATGACCTGCCTGGCTTCCTGCACATACCTCTCCTGCAATGGAGGCATCACTTCCTCATCAGCATCATCATCAAATCCATATTCCCTCATCCTTTGTCGTCTCCCAACCCTAAAATCACCCCCATCACTTTCTACCTCCCTATCTGACAACGACACCCTTCCTCTATCCCTTTCTCCATCCAAGTCAAGCTGCTGCTCAGAGGAGCTCCTCTTCGTGGTTCCACCTGTCAAGCAACACCTCACGGCTGTTGTGGGTTTGTCTGAATAAGTGAAGGATTTTGCACGTCGCAGAGTGGCTGTCAGGTCTTTCAGTGATGGCCGACGACCACAGGGTAGAAGGGTCCCGCCATGAGTCCGTGATCCCATCCTGTACACTGAGGACCCCTCCAAGTCCCCGATTTTGTCTCCACTTGTTTTCCGCACTTTGAGCTCTGACAGGTCAGATTTCAGAAAGCTTAATAGTGACATAGTTTCTGAGGCAATATCAGGGTTAGACATGGATATTCTGTTTTTACCATTGTCATCTACCCCATCCCCACCTGTTGTCCTCCTTAATGCCATGGTCTCACCAACCCTAAGCCCTGCAGATACCCCACCTTCTCTGGCAAGTATGCTAGGTAAGGGGGGGACTTGAGGCACAACCTTGGTGCGCACCCGCACTGGGGTACGGGAGAAGTTATCCCCATGGCCAAAGCTTGGGGATCGATACATAGTAAAATTCCCATGGTACGTTTTACTCAGCATGGACGAGGACGCACTTTTGCTAGTGCTGCCTCCTGCTCCACCCGAGTTAAAAAACACATTTGCTGTACGGTTGGTGCAGCTAGCCTGGTCCTCCTCCTTCAGTGTCTCAGTGCTAGAGTATCGGCTGTTGCAACGTGAACCACCAGGACTGGAAACAAATGGGGGGATATTGACCTTTGACACTCGTGATACACCAGGAAGTGTCGTGGACGTCACAGGTGAGAAGATGCGCTCCCATTGCTGCACCCTGGCTCTGTTACTATGAATACTGGGTTCTTTTGCCAAGTGGCTCCGGGCTGCTGTTCTCACAAAGTCTCCTCCTGTGTTTTGTGGGTGGTGCCTCTCTACGTGCTCCATTGTCATGCCCGTGTCACTGTCGCTGTCTTCTGATTCGCCATCATGATCATTATAATCATCACGGCCTGCTGCTAGAGCAGCTCCAAAGACCTTCTTCTTTTTTCTCAGTGAGCGGCGGCGGACTGCCTCTCGACTATGGGGGCCTAAAGAACCAGGGCTGTCCTCCTCACTGCCTGAAGACCTGCCAATGCCCTTAGCACCCCAGCAGCCATTTTTAGTGCGGGATAAATAGCTGCCTCCTCGCTCTGTGGCACCCCTTTCTCCTGCTCTGTAGGAGATGGAAGGAGCAGGGCCTGAAGGAACACTCCAACCACCTCCTCTTCTTCTCCTGGTGTGCTCCTCCTCTTCGTCTCCAGAGCTAAACCTCCAGCGGGAGCTGAGAGGAGAGGCAACTCTTGTTGGGGCTCTTAGCTCAGTGGAGGGAGCTTCAGTAGAGGAGTAGGAGGTAATGGCTTTATCTGGAGCTGGAGCAGAGGAGGGGGAGGAGGAGGTGTGGGCTGGTGCTCTAGAGGAGCTATGTGAGGAATGTAAACTATCCCTGGGCAGCCCGACCCCCTGTCTATCCCTTCTCTCCCTCACTGTCGGCTGCTGAAGAGAGGAGGAGCAGGAGGAGGTGTCTAAGCTCCCCGGTCGACTCCAAGACGAAGTCGCAGGGGGTTGAAGGTCAGGGTTGGGGTCAGATGTCAACCCTGTTGTCCTGGGGGTCTTATGGGCTGCCTTTGCCTCAGTGTTGGGACTATGAGATCTGTATGGAGATAGGTTAATCCTATGGTAGTGACTACCCCCAGTGCAAGTGTGACTGCTGCTGCTGCTTTGAAAAGTATTTCTGCCAGAAGCGTTGTTGTTATTAGAACGATGTGTCTCTATGTCTGCCTCCTGATCATTTGAGTACCGCTGGTGGTCAGCTTTGGAATAAAAGTCCATACCGTGACAAAAAGTCTCTTTAGCAGTACTGCTTTCTGTGCTTTGTGTTCCAACTATGCATTTGCCATGCAAAGACAAGCCACTGGCTTCATTATTGGAGCTGCAAGATGAGAGTTTGTCACTTCTATCTGAGAGAAGGGCACTGTCACTGGGGCCAAGCTCGTGTAGATGGCCTCTGATGGCTGCTTTTAAATTCTCACAAGTGTCAGTCTTGTGCTGCTGAGTACCTTTGCTTTGTGGCTCATCAAAAAATTGTCTAATTTTTGTGACACTGGGCCACTTGTCAGAGTGCAGGGGAATGAAGTCACTGTGGTGTGTAGAGAGGTAACTTTTGTGAGATTTACAGGGTGGAGGAAGCCCTCTACTAGTAACATCCTCTTCCTCATCTGTAGTCAAAGTCTTTCTATGATCAGAGGGACATGCATTGATCTGTGAATAATCTCTCTTACCAGAGTTACTGCTGCTGTCGGTTGATAAACACGTAAAAATCCGTTCCTCACTTTTCTTTTCTGAGTCCGAGCCTGACACAGAGTCAGTGCCAGAGTGAAACTTTTTCACTTTGTTGTCTGTGAGAGACTCCGCAGTAGTAGTGTCACTATCCTGGAAATATCCACCACCGCTGTCCTCGTGAAAAGATTTACGACACGGAGACCCGTCTGTCTTGGATCCTCTGGCCCGAGGGAAAGTGTTGCTCCTCCGCGTCACTGCTGCGCCGTCTCCCGGTGAGACTCGGTGCGTCCCGGCGCAGCCGCTGCTGCTAAACTTCTCAGTGAGCTGGCGGATTGATGGAGAAATAGAGGAGAGAAGAGTGGAGGAGCCTCTCTTTGGATCTGCGGTTGGGAGGCCGGCGGTGGTGGCAGAGATTTTGGAAACTTTTCTTGACACACTGACATTACGCGTCGCCAAGAGCTGTTCTGCTTTGCTGGGCTCCGGAGGAAGGGCGACGCCAGCTGCCTCCAAATCCTCTGATTTGTGTTGTTGGTCTTCACTCCTGTGGGCGCTCCAAGACCCCAACTTTTTGAAAGAGACGCTGCGATACACGGCGGCATTCTTCCTCTCGCTTTCTGCCATTGTTCATGTCGTCCTTTGTTAGATTTCACACACACATTTTAACTCCACGGATATTACAGATCCAAGCACCTTTTGGCATTGTGGTCCATTTCTCCCACGCACCCTAACGGCACATAAACCCAACAATAATCACAATTTTTAAGACTTAATTGTTGGCAAACTGCACAGTAACTTGCTTAATAAAGTGATAAAGTGTTGAGTGAGTAAGTAGGTGAGTGCCACTCTGTTATGAAAACTTACACGTTGTCGATTCCCGAAACCGCATCCGTGCAAAGAGGAAAAGGGCTACAGTTTTTTTTTTTTGGCTCAAACTTTCCCAACCTGTTCACAAACACAACTTTTCCATTGTTATTCTCTACTGTCTCTAAACATCTGCCCATCGCCAGGCTAGCACGCCTGTACGGGCCCGACGCATCATACACGGTTAATTCCCAATCTGTTTGTAGATTCCTTATTTTGGCATGATTTGGTTTTCCGTGACTTATGTTGTTTTTTGCATGTTAATGCTTGAGATAGGGCAGGGGGTGGGCGGGACTAGGGGTATAGGGGCTGTCATAGCCCCCTCGGGGATTGAGAGGAAAAGCGTTTTTCTTTTTTGATAGGAGAAGGCAGATACTGTGGACAAACTGGATGTAATTATAGCCCTTTCCCTTGCGAAAAAGACAGTAGCACTGTCAGGGGTTTTAGACTACACAAACTTTTTAAAACTACACATCTTAGAACAACATTTTGGACCTGCAGCAGTTTTGTAAAACGTTGACACACATTCCCTATGAAGATATCACTAAAGACACTATTGTACTGTATCTCAAAGATACAGTATACAGCCAAAAGTATTTCTGTCTTTAGAGGAAGAGGCTCACATAGGAAGTCAGAGAAGGGTACACTTCCATTTAACACTGCACTGCTAACTGCGTATTCAGCAATAGCGCTATACCACACTGTGTTGTGATGGTGTTGGAGAATTAATGTGCCAGCATTCAGGGAGGGGAAGAAAACAAAGAAAAATGTTTTCACTCATGCACAATAACTCCTCTGTGGTGCTTCCCATGTGGCGGTCTGGTTAACAGGTTCTTTTGTTCTAGAGAAGAATTACGTTACCCTTAAAGGAGAGAAGATGCTGACTGCAGCGCCCTCCACAGTCTGACCTGTAACATGTCAGGTCATTGGTGGTAGCCTAAATAATGAGGCGCAATTAGGAGAAGTTTGCCATCAAGCCTGTCTGCTAGAAAGCCTTGGTTAGGTTAAAAGCACCAAAACTACTTGGTTGGGTTTAGGAAAAAAAAAAATGCAGATAGCCCTGATGGTAAACCTCTCCTAATGGAATCTGCCCATCTGCAGTATTTAGTTTGGATGCTACATTTAATGAATCTTTTTCCAGTTCTGTATTACTGAAGCAGGATTCTATTGTTTTTGTGATTTGATAGGCATTTTGCTAAATCCTCTAAATAATTTTAACCAATTCACTGTACAGAAATGTATTTCTATTACATATTCACCAACTCTTGGCTGTTTTTAAACTTTCTCTTTGTTCAGTTTGTATGCTCAGATTCAAGTTTAAAATATGCATTTTGCCCAACAAATTCCAAAGAAATCTGTAGACACTATCATGTTGTGTTGGAAAGGTTAACTTCTCCATCAATATTTACCTTTTAGATATATTACATACATATACATGTCAAAAAGTTCATGATAAAAAATATGACACAATAAATCTTTACAGTGAATTCTAATACCCTTGCTTTAGGTTGGATGACTGCTATCTCCTCAAAGTCCACTTGGCTACAAATGTTGTTAGCAACCCAAATCTACATCAGCCTTTCATTTGTCTGACCAAACTGAGACGACAGGCAGAGTAAACGTTTATTTTGTACAGTGAAAAAGAAGGCAAAAATATACATTCGCTAGACTCTGAATGAAGCAAAGACACTCGTGAGCAGCTGTGTGACTTTAATGGCTGCTTTCAGTTAGTTTTACATTATGACAACATCCAAAACATTTTGACAAGCAACTCAAGAGGGAGGAAAAAAACTAAACTATATAAAAACATAAAAAATTAATTTTTCATCCCCCTTTCATCCTCTTAGTAGTACTACAGTATTTTGCAAAAATAAGATTTTTTTCTAAATAATACTGGCTGACAAAAATATAAATCAAAAATCACAAACACTGGACCAAACAGACACATAAACAATACCAGTGCAGTCACTTTTTGCTGAAGCACAACATACAGTAAATTACATTACATTAAGAAGTTCCTTACATTTTTAGACCTCATATTGTGATCACAATGTTCCTTGCATTTAAAATGCTTGAAAATTACATGTTCACATTAAAATACACTAATTTACTACCTAATGGGTGCAAAACTCAAACTATAGTCACAAGTTCGAACCATGTTTAGGTAGTAAAGCTGCCTAAAGGTTGTCTGTTACAGTCGCTTTAGAGTTATTTTCTGAATAATTTTAATAATTCCAGTTTAATTTCACAATTGTCAAGAGAAGGCCACATGAGCCATGAGGAGAGAGGAGAGAGAGATTTAAGGCTGGGAGAGCGTGGTGTATGTTATGGATTAAAATACATTACATTACATTACTGAGTTAACACATTCAGGACTAAACCCACATTATCCACCTCAGGCACATTTTATAATTAAGATTAATTTATGTTTGCAGCAGGTGTATCAGCTAAATGCTGCAGTTACCTGTATAATACAATGCAAAATCTGGTCGAATTTGTGCAACTTGCAAAAGTTACTCGACAAATAAGTACAAAAATGTAAATATTTGAATTAAGTTAAATTGCATTAAGATACAGCAAAATGCAGTTACACCAAAAACTACTACACATCAATATGCCCATTTATTTCATGAACATTACACATTATCAAATCATTAACAAAGTAACTTTGTATAACTTCATAAGAAATAACTTAAGAGGTGATTTCCTCGAAAATAAATCCTAATTTCATGGGAAGGGTTCACACACTCACAGGAAGTGGAAAACCACAGGGTTGAATGCTACTTTAGACCTGGCCCTACAGTCCATAAATAACATTCTCCCTTCCCTTTAAGCATCTAATGCAAATGATAAGGCTTTTAAAAATGTACCGTGTTGGCACAAATGTTTAAATGGATTTCCTTTGTTAAATGAAGAAATTAAAGAACATGAGGAGAAAAAATAGACTTGATGGCCTATTTTAGTGTGGTATGAGATAAATATTTACGTTTTCTTGGCATTGGATAATCTCTGGTTGTAGTAGCTAAGATCTAATCCTTACTGGATAATGATATTAATAACTATTCCATTTTAAAAGAGAACAGAGCCAATGTTTCAGTGCAGTGGGGTTACAGCAGTGGGGTGCACACACCATCCAGTGGTGAAAACATGCAAACACAAGCCTTATAACTTGAATAACGTTAATGTACGTTAACAACGTGTCACGTTTAGGGAAAAAACAGCGATAAACTTCATATGAAAATGTTCAAATACATTTTTCATTTTCAAACTACTTCAACTGCCATGTTTTTGCAATCCTATGTTTGTGTGGCATGTTTCACTCCAGCAGCATTTAACATGGCTTTATGCCATAGTGAACTAAGTATTTATGGATCTTCCTTCTTTCTGTAACTATTTATACACCACACGTATCTCAAAATGATTTCATCTTGGATATAAACTGTGGAGACTGTGCTCATTATTTTATAATTTTAGAGCATTTCTACTATACTGCAGTTCACAGTATGAAACAAAAATGAGAAAAGCTTGTCCTTTACTACGCAGTGCTCAGCGCACACTGAGAGTAAATATTTCACAGATAACAGAGACAATGCAGGATGTAAATGCCCTGGTCTGCTGACGGTGTAATCAGCATTTACATGTACAGTACATGTGCAGTACTCCTTAGCCATATACAGCCAATATTTAATAAAATAAAGGCAATATAGAATCAGGAATCTCAATGTGAAGTGTCCAAAGTGCCTAAATGCCCCACAGAAATACACCTGTAGTCTGCCAATTCAAGATTATATGAGTGACACCAGAATATGGATTTTCTTCACAACTCTTTCTGTTTACTTTCTACATTAAAAGATTACAACTTTCATATTTAATTTCATAAGGTTTGTTGATATGCCAGTACCTCTGAATTGTCAAATCCCCTTAGGAAGGTCCACTTCTTTGTTACATTCGGTAGTAGGTCGGAGCATAAAGGACTACAGCTTACATTAGGACATGCACAAGGAAACCTGTTAAAAAAACTCAGCAACAAATACATGTACCACTTTGCAACATCGTATGATCCACCACTGGCGTAGCAACAAGGCTATAAGTGCATGATCTACTGTTCACTCACACACTGGTGCCCTTGTCCCTGAGGCTGGTGACTTTGAGAACAAACCTTCTGGTGCTCTGGCGGTAGCGTGGCTGGGTGAAGTAAAACAGAATAGGGTCCAGGAAGCTGTTCATGCTGGCAAACGGCCTGGTGCTCTTATAGATGATTGCAAACAAGTTTCTTGTCTCGCAGGGCACAGCCGGCAGAGTACGCACTACCAGGTACATGGTCTTGGTAAGGTGAAATGGCAGGAAGCTTATGCAGAACACTGCCACCACCACAATGATCATCCTCACCGCCCTGTCCCGTTTCTCCCCAGTCGACATGGAGACACCCTGGTAGGACACCGGGCGGCACAGGATGTGGGCCATCCGGCAGTAGCACACCATCACACCCATGAAAGGCAACAAGAAGCCGAGGCAGGTCAGAGCCATGCCATAGGGGTAGTAGTCTACTGAGCGCTTTGGTGTGCTTAAATCATAACACACTGTGCGGTTTCGCTGGATTCCTGTCGCAGCAAAGTGAAAAGTTGGCGCGCACAGGACGACCACCACCAGCCATACCCCTCCGCAGACACACCACGCCAACCTGCGGCCACCTTGCTTGGGCCACATCGCAAGAGGATGGCAAATGCCCAGATAGCGCTGCACACTGATGCAGGTGAGGAAGAGGATGCTGCCATGCAGATTACTAAAACAGGGAGATGGGAAAGAGAAAATACTGTTAAGTCAAATCTTTTGAAGCTGTATTCTTTCCTACTACATTGTATTGTGTCTAGTACATTTTGTATCTGGTGGTGTCACCTTGTATCAAACACCAGCAGTGCAATGTCAGGTCAAGCATGAGTGTGTGAAATACAAACTTGACACACTCATGCTTTTTACTTAATGAAGTAACAGTAAATGCGTGTGTAGCTAGTAACACTTTACTGAGTGCCCCTTTTTAGCATTCATAAGCAACATAAACCTTTAATTAATTCTTCATTCTTCATGACACACTATAATGTAATTGTAAGCAGAACTAAGGCCATTTTCCCTTGTTTTTATTTATATCATACCATATCAAGTTATGGATGCCCACAGGAGAAATTATAGGGGTTGACAAATACAAGTTAATAAGTGAAAAACTAGAATCACCTGTAGAATTGAAACCTGACCATTTTACAGGCAAACTCTCCGAAGGGCCAGTAGTCATGACTGCCGTAGTTGTAGATGAGCAAGGGAAGTGACATCACATACAGAAAGTCGGCTATGGCCAAGTTGAGCATATAGATGTTGTTTTTGGACAGACTGGGCCGAGTCCTCCATATCTTCAGTATGACAGCAGCATTGAGAGGAAGGCCGAGCAGGAAGACAAGGGTGTACACAGCAGGGAGTAAAATACGTTTAAAGTCTTCCTTGTAGGTGCAGCGAAGGCCGCCTAACCCGCTGATGTTGCTGACATTACTGAAGCTGGCGATGAAGCTGTCTGCTTCGTACGGCTCTGTAGGGCGTTCGCTGATAGAGAAGAAGTCCAAAGAGAAGGTTTTCGAGATGAGAGTTTCCGTAGGGAAGGAGTTGACAGAATGTGGCATCTTCACATTCTGGAGGAGAGACAGGGAAAGACATGTGGGGGCTGTTACGTTGATGATAATGTCAATACTTTTAACAGGAATAAAAACAAGAGTGATGATGTGGATATGCAACGAATGTGCACGCAATGTAGAACAACCCACAAGCAGTAAACCAGCCTTACCTAGAAACTAGAAAATAAGAGACAAGAAGTAAAACAACATATGTAACATATGCAGGGCATCTAATGGAAGCACAACCCTGCTCGTGGCAAGGCTTTTAAATTCAGGTTAAAACCAATAAGCAAACTAATAGTTGAAACAGGTTTAGCATAACACTGACAGACGTAGTTGTATATGTACTGTACATGCCTGCGTATGCACTGAAAATGAATGCTTATTGAGTTCTTGAGTGCTCATTTGATGGCTGTGAATTTGACAGAGAGCGAAACTCTCCACCAGAGGGCACAAGAGATCAGCATTTGTTTGATTCACAGGGAAGCAGTCACCTTGAGCTCTGTCAACACTGGACTTTTAGTCAAGGACATTATTCATAAGTCAATTCTGTAACTGGGTTCAGTTAAGTAATATTCAATTCAATTCAATTTTATTTTATTTATGTTGCTCTAATTCATTGCACTTTTCATTCGGAGCAGGCCTAGATTGTTCTCTCTCCTCTAATGTTATTTACAGAGACCCAACAATTCCCACCATGAACAAGCATTTGGCTACAATGGCAAAGAACAGGAGAAAGTAGCCCAATGCATGTCTGAAAGTAGAGATGTGAAACAATATAGGCAGAATGGGGATAGTCGTACAGATATAAATGAAAATGAGCATTAGTGTTAATAATGAAATCAATAGTAATAGAAGGAACACAGTGGCAGCAGGTAGCTCGCAATTACAGATCCAGACTCCGCAGCTCCAGGGGCAGAAATGCAGAAAGCGACAGAAGGAATGAGGAGAGAGACGAGAAAGCACGACACTACAGAAGAGGGAAGATATAGAGTTAGTAAAATGCATTTATGGGATAACAATGCATACAATGGAGAGGGATAGGAGGAGAGAGGAGCTCAGTGCATGATGGGAAGTGTCCCATCCATCTAGGCCTATAGGAGCATAACTAAGGGATGGTTCAGGGCTACCCTGAGCCAGCCCTAACTATTAGCTTTCTCAAAAAGAAAAGTCTTAATTCTACTCTTAAATGTGGAGATGGTGTCTGCCTCCCGAATCCAAACTAGAAGCTGATTCCACAGGAGAGGAGCTTGATAGCTGAATTTTACATTTGGAGACTATAGGAACCCCAAGTAACCCTGAACTCTAGGAGCTCAGTGGAGCATATCAAGGTACTAAGAGCTCCTTAAGATGATTATATTTGATACAAGTTCAGCCTAAGTGTTTTGTGAGCATGGAGTATTGAACCAGGAAGGCTACATTTATATCACATAAATACTTGGATTGGAGAAAACAGGGCAGCAGCAGTATACTTATTAGAATTTAAATTATCAATAATTATTTTACTGAAATGAAAGTACATAAACAGTACTATCTAAAGTAGTACACATACTTATTGTAAAGACCTTCAGAGAGTTATTTTATTGCTGCATTAATATGTGGGCATTTCATCGTTGTAGCCAGTGCATTTAATATCAACTCTGATCTCATTAATAAAAATAATGCCAATAAAATGAGAGCCAGTCCATTAGATTATGGTAATTCAATCCTTCAATCACTTCACTCGCTAGACAGCTGAAAGTTTTGAAATGAAAACCTCTGCAGACTGTCTGGTATCCCACTCACAAATCACACTGTCTGGAACAGGATGAGCTTAATCAACAATCTTAATTACTGCCCCCACTACCAGCATCAATCCATTTCCTTTGTGGCAGCATGTGGGCGAGTGAATGATTGGCTTAAGCCACTACCTCCACAGCCTCGTCAGACTGTGACTCACAGCATTTCACAACTAACACCCCATTAGCTGAAAAGTGCATACATGTGCAGCTTCTTGTAACTGCTAAAATCACACAGGTTTGTTGTTTTTAAAAATGTGTTTGCAAGTTAGTGTTTTAAGTTAACTCCTGTGTGGATGCATGTACTGTTTATTGTGAATAACAGAGACACATCATTTCATAATTCCTGGTAGAGTAATTGAAGGAGAGGGAGCAGAGCGCCAACAGCCGTAAAACATTCTTCTATACTTGACCAATGAGCCGGCGAAGAGAAACCACAAAGGTTTTGGAAAGGTCACTGCAGTTGGCTGTATTTTCTGATGACTTATTTACAGCGTCATTTCTGATTGGTGGCCAGCCTTTTTCTCAAGAATGGCCTTGAGACTGACTGTCTTGGCTATCTTAAAGCCCTGTGACATCATGACAGTCACTCAAATCTCAACTCTTTCTGAAAACACTGCACTTTATAAAGTGAGGTCTGATTAACTTCAAAAATCACACTCTGCAGTAGACCGTATGATGGTAAGGAAAGTGGGGTTCTTGTTTTTGCCCGAAGGTGCCTCTTCGTGACCAGCTTTTCGCGTTCAGGCCTGCCTTACGTGGGCTAACCATGCCTAACCTCCACGGATGAACGTGTACTGACTTTGATATAAAGCTGCAATCCCAACTGTAACTTCTTATGTGTACCGCCAAAGTGATAGTGCACCCTGTTTGTGAAATTCTGTCACTTTGTGCTTATTAGTATTCATAATGTTGGCATGCAAATGCAGTTTCAATATCAAAAAGCAAGCAGTGACATGAAACCAAACATGTTATTTAATTTACTAAAGAACTAAACAGGTCAGCGGCAGTCACCTACAAGACCAAGCAAGCATGCACGTCATTAGGGCTGGCACTGTGGTGGAGATAATCATATATAACTGGACAAAGATATTGTTCATGAAAAATTAATGAACTGTTGAGTGTCAATTTCCTTCTAAATTAATAAGGAAAAAGAGGCAAACAGAACTGTAAAACCTCTTCCAGATGTATTTTGTCCTTTGTGGTAATGTTACACACAAATGTGCAGCCTTCATCTTGTCTATTTCAAGTTACTGCATACTGAGGAGTGGATGTTTAAGACTGCTTTCTATAGCTGTCACAAAATTAAATGGGTTAGATAAAATCAGCGCTCAACATAAACATGTCAAATATACCTTATCGGTTCAAATGTTAAATGCAAAATGTAATTACAAACAGATAAAAATGATTCCAGTTAACAAGCCGTAGTTGACTACTGACTTTTATGGTAAATCCCTACTGGTTTTAAAATGAAAATATAAATTGGGAAAAAACAACAACAAAAATTGTCACTTTCAATAACAGCACTGTATTATTTTTGTGTGGCTTCACCTATGACCGACTGCCCAGTCAGCATGAACAGTACACAGAATAACGCATGGCAAAGAGGACTGCTGAAATGGGAGGTGTGTGTCTGTTTGATATGGTTGTGTTTCCAATTTCCAAACACTCTAGAGAGCAAACACTACTCACAGGCCTCTAAGTGGTGATATCTGCGCTGTGTGTGTACCTCTATTGTTTGCTCATTCCATGCCATATCCATTTCCTAATTGGCCTTGGTTTTAGTTTAATTGCAGTATAAGAAATAAATAATTAATCTTTAAATAAATTCAATTAAATTCAACTCAGTTTTATTTATATAGCATCAGACTATGTCTGACAATAGAGGCCGAACAATTCCCACCATAAGCAAGCACTTGGCGACAGTGGTAAGGAAAAAAGCTGGTTTACATTCACATTTATTAATTTAGCTGACGCTTTTATCCAGAGCGACTTACAATTGCTGTATATGTTAGAGGTCGCAAGCCTCTGTCTCTCACACCAAAGGCATGCATCTTATCCACTGCGCCATTTGGTTGGCGGGAGAGAAAGAGAGAGACCAGGAGGAAAGAGAACACACAGTAGCACAGTGCAACTTCCACACAGAGATGTAAAATAATTGTAATGGTAGTGGTAATAATACAAATATCAATAAAAAATAATGATAATAATAATAATAATAATAATAGGACTAAATACATTAAATGCAGAGCATAAAACAGACAAAACCCACAGGAACAAAAGATTTAAAAAAACAAACAAATAAACAAAAAAGGAATCAAATTTTAAAATCAAAACTTCTCATTTCACATGATTCAAATAGCCAGAATGACTCGAGAGTCAGTATTTGTTGTTAGCATATTTCAGGCAGGTAATGTTATTTTGTAAGTAAAATGAGCTCATAGTTTTTTAAGAAACTGCACAAAAACACTGATTCAGTCTCCTGTGTGTTTACAGAGACACCTCAGTTACCTGTGGTGTTTCTAAAATGACACATTATTATAAAGACAAGATGACACGAAGGTTAAGACTTTTTTTAGATTCTCAAAATAAAAAAGGAAAGTTGTGTGTACTGAATGTCATTTAAACCACATGTTTACTCAATCATGACACTCACAGAGAACACTAATTACACCGACCGTTTTCAGGAATTAATTTGGCTGTGTCATTATGGGTGTGAAGGAGTCATCTACTTTTTCCTCTGTGATTCAGAGCAGCTTTTTCTGCCCACATAGCTGTAGTATTTTTGGCAGGGTTACCTGAAACGTGTCCATACATCTTCTCGTCAAACCCTTCCTGGGGGAAAACAGTATCCCGTAACAAGATATTTGAAAGCTGTTACAGTTTGTTGAGGGGTGAATCATGTGATGTTGTGCTATTAATAATAAGTTGAGATTTTACCATCAACTTAAACTATTCCTCGGATAAGGTGAAGCTCCATTCTTGTAGTATAAAAAGCCATTTACACTTATTACAAAAGTGCTGCATTACGATGAGCTACGCTGCCTGGCAACAAATATAGCCATTTATTGAGTTATGTGACACTTTTATTTCATGCTGTTTTCACTGGTACATCTGATAATCTGTAGAAATCCTCTTATCCTTAAAAGCATTGTACTGTACGCGTCTACAGCCAAAAGGTTTACTGGAGAATGCGGGCATCGATCCCGCTACCTCTCGCATGCTAAGCGAGCGCTCTAC